ATCATATATCTGATAAGGTGTTAATGTCCAGAATATAGAAAGAATGCTTACAATTCAACAACAAAAGACAAACAATCAAATTAAAAAGGGGGCAAAGTACTTTAATAGCTGTATCTCCAAAAGAAGATATAGAAATCTCCAACAAGCATATGAAAGGATGCTCAACATCATTCGTGGTTAGGAAAATTCAAATCAAAACTACTTCTCAGTACAATGCTAAAAATAAAAAATTGAAAATTATAAGCCTTTATTTATTGCTGGCAGGAATGTAAGCAGGTGCTGTGGAACACAGTTTGGCAGTTCCTCAAAAATTTAAACAACTCTTAGGTATATACCCAAAAGAAATGAAAACATACCGACCACAAAAACTTATATATGAATATTTACAGCACCATTACTCACAATAGTCAAAAGATGGAAACAACTCCAACACCATTAACATTTGAATAGATAAACAAAATGTGGTATGCACATACAATAAAATATTATTCTTTCATAAAAAGGAACGAAGTATTACTATTCACACTACAATGTGAACAAACCTTGAAAATATTATGTAAAGTGAGAGAAACCAGATACAAAAGGTCACATATTGAATAATTTCATTTATATGAAATATCTAGCAGAGGTAAAACCATAGAGACAGGAAGCAGATTAGTCATTGCAAGGGACTGAGAGAAGGGGGAATTAAAAGTTACTGCCTAATGGATGAGGGGTCTGTTTGGGGATTGATGACATTGTTTTGGAACTAAGTAGAAGTGGTGGTTGCACAATACTTTAAATGTGCTACATGCCACTGGATGGTACACTTTAAAAATGGTTAATTTTATGCTATTTGAGTTTCTCCTAAAACAAAGGAGACTAAAGACAGCCCTGTTTAAAAAATTACACACACAAGTATATTCTGATATTCTTTCAGCTGGGGAGCCTTCATCTTTTTTATATTTCCTATCCCTTTGTACATCTAATAAGAGCAATGGACCCTATTTTCAACAAAAGTACACATCAAATAAAATTTAACTACCTTACCCTTCCCCATCCTACATATACACACATAATTTTAAACATAATTTCTGGAGATACATATGTTAATAATGACTAAACTAAAGGAGAAAGTGAGCTCCCTTTAACATAGCTCAGCTGGTATTTGTCTCTTCTCCCTTCCATCTCACGCCCAGGTAGTATCTTTTCCTTTCTGTCTTTAGTCTCCCTCATAGTGTCTGTTGCCTTGTTATGTCAACCTGCTTTATGTATCAACATTTGTTAGTGCCTAGAATATTCGTCTTCTTCCCACAAAACATATATATTTTACTACTTGGTAAACATATGTAATCTTTCATACTATTTTGGGTGATTTATAGACTGTCAGTTAAGAACAACTGGTCTAGGCCAATCAATATGGTTACTATGTCAGACTTACTTAGACACTGACTGAGAAGGCACTAGGATAAGTATGGACCATGGCAGAAACCCTTCAGCATAGCTAAGTTTCTCCAAGTGCCCTGGAGTTGAACATACCAGAGCTGAGAGATCCAGCAGGCTATACTTTCTAAGTCAGGTGAGAGACAGCAGAAAGGGTCAAGGAAAGCTTTTACCCAGGCACTGTGAATAATGGCAGAGAGCAGGCAGGTCTGAGGTTTCTTGCTGCAGCAAGTACTTCTCCAGGCTGCATGGAAACCCTAAAATGCAGGTGTCTAACAGGGATCTGTCTGACTTTCATGGCAGAAACAGCACTCCTTCCCCTCTTTGCTGGGGCTGAATTATCTGGGTGAATTTTGAAAGTCAGAGGGAATGGTTCAAAGGCATTTACTCAGGTCACCACCTTGGTCACTTGACCATTTGTGAATGCAGAAGAGAAATTGTGAAACATGGGCAGGGGTAGAAGGACAGAACTTTCCCTTCCTCTTGACCGAACAGGGAGGATGAGACCCTTAACTGCCTGGGTCCCACAGCTCTTTCATTTGCTCAAAGCTAAATCTCTGAATGAAAATTACCATGGTCCAGATTTTCAAAACTGGCATTGTGTCAATCATCAGATTCCATCAAATCTACCTAGCAGTTGGCATTAAGTAAATGTGTATTTTAAAATATGTGTGTGTGTGTGTGTGTGAAAGAATCAGCTATTCATGAAAAATTTAAATGTATAGTTTGTATGTAGCCAATTGAATTCATTCTCTATATAGTAAAAGTTACTGTTATGAACTTGATCTCTCCTCTGAGTAGAAAATTTTGGAATCTTGTTTTTTTTTTAGCCTAAACATTCTTTCTCCCACATGAAATAGATTTATTTGATTTTATGTTCAATAATAATAACTCATCCTCAAGGGCAGTAAATGAAATAAAACTGAAAAACATATTCAAAAGCAAATAAAATCTCTATTTCAACTACTTGCTTCTTCCCTTGAAAATCTACTTTGTACCCTTTATGCGAAGGCAGAATGAACAGCAGAGGCTGAGAGGAGTAGTAGATTGAAGGAGTAGGTGCCCTGGAATAAAAGGAGAGAATGACAAAAAATTCCAGAGATGCATTAATAATAGCCAGTAGTTATAGGAGAAGATGAAGCCCTTCCTGGATGACCACAGAAGAATAAACACACACCACAGGGTGAAGGGGACGACATTTGACCTCAGGAAACTGCAAACACCAAAATACATGACAGGGCCTCATGCTGTGGAGGAGGGATAGGGTGGGTGTGGGAGTAGTGAAGGGAAGAAGTAGGCTGGCTCCTGACGCACTTTCTGCTGGTGGGAGGGGAACGAGGGACCCAAGCCCACTAGTGACGTTTTCCTCACGTGATCAGGAGCCGACGTGTGCAGAAGTCCCTCTCTTCCAGGTACCAGCTCCTTATTTCCGTGGAAGAAGGAAGAAGGCAGACTTGAAACTGAGGGACACAGAGCAGCAACTTCCCTGCAGCCCTGCAGGTCAGTATGAGCTGGGGATCCCTGAGGTAGGGATGGTAACAGGCAGAGGCTATAGACGATTGCGTCTGCTTTTCAAAACCACCCCCCTCCTTCCTCCCCCATTCATTTTGGCGCAGAAAATTGTGAGCGTTGCGGGAGAAATCTGGGTAGCATCTTTTATTTCCTTTGAGAAATGTGGGTTTCTGACAGGAGGAAATGTGAGAAGGGTTATCTCCCAGGATAGCTACAAATTCCCATAGCTGCTTGCGGATCCCTGGGGTAAGAGTGACAGAAGGCAAAGAACAGAATGGATCCAGAACTGGATTATCTCTACTCCTTTCCAGATGCCCACTCCTTGGTGCAAGAAATGGAGGGTTTAGTGGTAGGGATATCGAGAGGGTAGGGGTAGAAGATGGGCGCCAGTTGGGATCTCCTAATAAACCAGTGATTGATCTGATGGAGGAGGGCTAGGGAGGGCACAGAGAGGAAACAGCCTAATCCCTAAGGGGCAGTGGGAGGGGTCGCAGGCAGTGAGCCCTGGATGTGAAGGGTGGGCCCTGCCAGGGACCAGGCCTGACTTCTCTACATCTCTTCTACACTCTCCATCCATTTTGGAGCCGGAAATAGGCTGAGGGTCTGGGAGAGATGCAGAGAGGGGAACAGAGGTTTGGTCTCCGGGCTAGTTTTCTATTTAGGAGTAGCTTATGAACTATGGAGGTTTGAAAGGAGGTATCATGGATCAAAAATGTGACTGAGTTTGGAAATAATTTATCTCTTTCATTGCAGAAAAATGTGGGCTTTCTGTGTGAGGGAGGGATGAGAGGAGTGTTTTGGCCATCTCTGCCATTTTCAGAGAAGTGGTGGGCTTTTTGCTATCTGGGCACCCTGAGGTGGTGGAGGGTTAGAATACAGGGACCTGAATGCAGCAGGATCTGCCTTCTGTCCCGAGTTCCATTCATTTTAGTGCAAGAAAAGGTGAGAGAGATTTTGGAAGGAGAATTCAGATGTGTAGAAATACTTTGGATATAGTATTTCTTTTCCATTGATAAGTAATAGGAAAAAAAGAGGTTCTTAAAGAAGAGTTGTAGAAGCTGAATCAGGGAAAGCAAGGGAAAGGGCAATGTGGTACTAGGAGTTGGGAAAGTTTTGATAGTCTGAAAAGAATCTGTGTCCTATGGGCTGGTGGGGTTGCTCAAGTGGTAGAGCACCTACCTAGCAAGTGAGGCCCTGAGCTCAAACCCCAGTACCACAAAAAAAAGAATCTGTATCTCAGTTGCCAGTCATTCACTTTCTCAACCCTTCACTCACATTTGTCTCTTCTCTCTGCAGGTCTTTAGATCTGTGACTGTGTGCACCAACCCAGACAAGAAAAAGAAAGTTCTGAAGCATCAGTGCAGGTCAGTGGGAGAAGGGATCGCTCCTCCACAATTCATGGAGTAGCAGTGACTCAAGCCAGAGCAGAAGTTGGGGAAGCCACAGCCTGTCTTCCCTTCTCCAATGTCCCTTATTGCAGTTCCAGGATACACAAACATTGTCATGACTCTGTGGAAACATGGTGCTGTATGGTTGGTGAGGATAGAGGGGGAAACAAGGAAGTGAGAGAAAGGACATGTGGCATCTGTAATGCCCTTAGAGGATATTAGAGCAGCCCTGAATTCTGGTAACTGGCTGTTCTGTTCTAGCTGGTGTTTTAAAAGTTTTATAATAGCCAACAAGGGGAAAAAAAGAATAAAAACTACACAGGATTCCTAAAGTTTAATGTAAGTTGGAACTATCCAGTTTACACTGATGTGGGCATAGCTAAGGCCAGAGCAAACTGTAGAGACAAACCCGCTTCTGTCATTTCTCAGCACACTCCCTCAACTGTGTGCAGAAGCACCTATGGAAGCTTCTGCAAGGGTGGCTCATGTGAATATGTGTGTGGGAAGGAGAGAAGGGAATGTAAGGGTGAAAGTGCACCTGGAAGGTGGGATAGGGCGAGGAGAAACTTAAGTCAAGAAAGGCAAGTAATATTCAGGACCACACGTTCCACTCCTTAGGACTTCAGTGTTCTGTGTCTTCCCTTTCTCTCCTAGAACAGGCAAAAAGAAAATCTTAACATGGAAAAGTTCTACAAAGAAAACGAAGGAAAGCCAGAAAACAAGGAAACCGCAGAAGATGAAGGAAGTACGGAAGATGAAGGAAATCCAGATGAAGAAAAGTTGGACATTGAGAGGAAGCCAGTACACGAGGGACAGCTCGAGGAAGAGGGAGAGTTAGGTGAATCAGGACAACAGCAGGATGAGGGCAAGTCAGAAAAGCAGGGAAAGTCTTCTGAAGGTGAGGGCAAGCCACAAGGGGAGGGCAAGGCAGAATCCCAGGCAAAGCCAGCCAGCGAGCCGCGCGCTGCTGAGAAGCGCCCAGCTGAAGATTATGTGCCTAGGAAAGCAAAAGAAAAACGGACAGGGGGACTGACGACTCCCCCAGGGACTCTCAGGAGAATTTGCAGGACAGGCATTTGAGCAGTGAGGAGATGAGAGAATGTGGAGATGTGTCAAGGGCTCAGGAAGAGCTGAGGAAAAAACAGAAAATGGGTAGCTATCACTGGATGCAGAGAGATGCCCAGGATGCATTCGCCCCCAGGGGCCAACGTGGTGTCAGGGGAGTGAGGGGCGGAGGTAGAGGCCAGAAGGATTTAGAAGACGTTCCTTATGTCTAATGTCTTTGGCCTTTAATTCTGATTTCTCTGATGGGAATCTTCCCAGCCCTGCTTTTCCTGGCAGGCATTTGCCGGGCTATGTGCTTTAACCTTATGCTGATACTTTCTTTTAGGTGTCACTATCCTTACCAGCAGACTTCGACCCAAGTACAGCACTCTGTCTTTTAGTACCGGATTTTCATCCATGTGCATGGAAGAGATGTTCATAGTACATTACAAAATAACAATAAACAGTTTGCAGAATCACAGATACAGTATCAGCCCATTTTTGAAACAAATTATGTACTGTTATGTAGTATGTCTATGCAATGGGAACAAAGAAATAATGGTGTTCTTTGTGTGGTGGGAGTAGAGGAGATTATTTTTTTTCTCATCTTTACTTTTTCTCCCAAAAGAACACAGGTTGGGCTGGGAGTGTGGCTCAGTGGTAGAGTGCTTGCCTAGCATTTGTGAGGCCCTGGGTTCAATCCCCAGCATCATAAAAAATTACTTTTGTCATAAAGGAAATAACAAATGATAAATCAAAAGATAAATAAAATAGGAAAATAATACATACCATGAGTTATTTCACAAGTAATTCATTCATGGAGCTTGTTAAGACAGTAGAAAAACAAAATTCTTACCAGAACACAAAATGACAGGCAAAACTTCCATTACTTAGCAGTTCCTAGAGATCCATTGCTGTATGGCACAACCTTATCATCTGTAAAATGGGATAAAGCTTACCTTACAGGGCTGTGGAGTAGACCAGAGATGGCACTGAGTGGAGAAGCTCTGTTGAGTTGGCTCCTACCCTCTCCACTGCTCTAGTAGTATTGGATTAAACAAGAAAGTCTCACCTGTGCCCAGGAATAGATCCAGGAAGCTAGGGGGAGGGGAATGCCACCCTTCCCCAGATAGGGCCATACTTGATGGGCATTGTGCCACCTCTCAGCTGTCCTGAACCTTCTTAGGTCCCTTCTATTGCTGGTGGGGTGGAGTCCTCAAGGTAGCAAGGCCCCTTTGATTTCCCTGGAGCCTCTAGTAAGTTGAATATCCATTCTGTTACCTGTGGACAATGTCTCTCTTCTCACTTTCTAGTTATGTTAATATTGACATGAGATGTGGAAAAATGGCCTTGCAAAGTCTTAACTAATATTTGTCAGGCATTAAAATTATCCCAATAGAATTGCCCTTTTTAAAGCAAAGAATTTATCTTACTCATTTTGCTACCCCAAAGTACATAATAGAAGCTTAAAAAATAGATTCAGTAATCATCAAGTTAGAAGGCCTCATTTCATGGCCCAGTTCTACCCCTGATTGAATACATAGCCTTAATCATATAATTTAATTCTTTAGCAATTGAAACATGCCTCTTCAAAAGTAACACAGCAGAAGAGGTATACCATTGCTAAATACTAAATGCTTTTAACATTGGATATGTAGTGGTTTTTAAAGTTTGCTAGCTACTAGCAGACTACCTGAAACAAAATCCTAGCTATCTTGTTGAAAATGCAGAATCCTAGCTTCCACACCAGACCCAATGTGTCCGAATTTGTTCTGATTTATCTCCATAATATATGTGTGTATCTTTCACTTTTACTTCATTTTTATTTTTAGTCAAATAGAAACATGCACGAATTTTTAAAATCCAATAACACAAAGAGTTTATTATTAAAAACTGCAGCCCACCTTGCCATTTCACATCCCCACTTCCCAGAGACAAGTATCATAAACATGTTTGGTTTATTCTGGTATTTACCTCCATATTTCTTAATAAGTAAATGTTGTTACTTTTAACAGTGCTATTGAAGTGTAATTCATATGTCATAAATCTTACCTCTTTAAAATACACAATTCAGTAGTTTTTAGTGTATTAGAGTTCTTAATCACATTAGTTAGTTCCAAGATAGATGTTTTCATCACCCTAAAGAGAAATCTGATACTCATTAGCACACAATGGTATGACCATTCCATCATGTCCCCAGCAACTGGCAAGCACGGATCTCTTTTCTATCTCTATGGATTTTCTCACTCTGGAATTTCATGCAAATAGAATTGTACAATATGTGATCTCTTGTGTCTGGTTTCTTTTACTTGCCATAGTGTTTTCAAGGTTCATCCATGTTGTAGCAAACACTGGTGTGGAAGATTTTGTTTATAAATATGTTTTCAATATCCTTGGGTATATGCTTAGAAATGAAATTGCTAAAGTACATGAGAGTTCTGTTTAAATTTTGAGGAACTGCAAAACTGTTTTCCAAAATAACTGTGATATTTCACAATGTCACCAGCAGTGGATGACGATTTTAATTTCTCCATACCCTTGTTATTGACCATAGTTTTGATTACAGCAATATTGCTGGATATAAAGTAGCAGCTCATGGCTTTGATTTGCATTTTCCTAATGGCTAATGATTTTGAGCATCTTTTGATATTCTTAATAGCCATTTGTATATCTCCTTTGGTGAAATGAATATTCAATTCTTTTGCCCATTTTAAAATTGGGTCGGTTGCTTTTTATTGTTGAGTTGTAACAGTTCTTTGCTTAGCTGGGACACAGGTCCTTGTCAGATAGATGACTTACAACTGTTTTTTCTTGACTTGCTAATTTTAGTTATTACCTGTTGATCTTCTGATATGATAATGGAGGAATTCTTCCTTAGATGTATTAATCAGCTTTCCACTGCTGTGACAAATTCCTCAGATAAGTCAACTTGAAAGGAGGAAAAGTTTAATTTAGCACATGATTTCAGAGGTTTCAGTCCATGGTCACTTGGTCCTGTTGTGTCTGACACAGTATATGTGGTGACACAGTATATGGCTGGAGTATGGGGCAAAGAAGCTGCTCACCACGTGGTAGCCAGGAAGCAAAGAGAGAGAAGAAGGGACGAGGGTCTCAATAGCCACTCTAAGTGCATGTCCCCACTGACTTACTTTTCCTCTCACTAGGCCCAAGGTTCCACCACCTTCCAATAGCATCACAGCCTGGTGAACAAGCCATTCACACATGGGCCTTTTATCCAAACCATAGCACCATGTAATTCCCACTATCTCTTGCCCCACCACCAATATAGCTTTACCACATACAGTGTGTATTTTAACAAGTACCCAAGTGATAGTTGCTAAACTCTGAGGACCATTTGTGTGTTTGTTTGGTTAGGCTAAGCTTATGCTAGGGTAGCTAAAAACTCCAAAGCCTCAGTAGCTTAATACAAACAATGGTTTATTTCTCAAACTTTATGAAGATTATGGAGAAGCTCTGCTCCCTGTAATCTCTCAGGGATACAGACTATGGTGCCACTATAGTAGAGGAGAAGAGTCCCTAGAGATAATGCTCATTTTTAATACAGTGGTCTAAGAATGATATAAATCACCACTTTTTGACATAAATCATAGACCACTTTTTCACATTTCAAACTCCTTTACTTCTGGCAAGCAATTCTGACAGAGGTGTTATGACCTCTATACGGGTGACTGAACTGAGGCTCAGTGATGATAAGTGATTTACACGAGGTCACATACTGCAAAGGGGAAGAGCCCAGATTGAAATCCAGGTTTATTTGGTACTAATATGATAATCTGTATCCTGTTTTCTTCCCTAAATAAAAGAAGTTGGATTTTATTTTCACTTTATTATACCATGAGTCATTTAGGACATCAAAAAAGTGGTACTGTTTTAAGGACAAATTTAAAGAACAATGGCACAATGGCATTGTTTCCTCCACCATCAATGCCTTAAAAAAGGCATTTTCACAATAATTCACAGCCTGACTGTACTGGCTCCCAAACTGTGAGCTGTGTTTTTCAGTGAATATGGGTCTTCAGACAGAAGATAACACCCTCTTTCTCTTCATTTGTAAGATAACATGCTCCTATAGGCAAGCCACTTTGTCTAATGGCTGTTATACTTTTGGGCCTGGGCTGATTATCAGAAGAATTACACTAAACAGACACAGAACCAAAGTCACCATAAAAACACCAAAACAGATCAGCCTACAACTGAGGCCCTTCTGCAAGTTTGAACAAGATAGGTTGGGAAGAAAGACTACAAAATCCATATGCTAAAGTCACTAGTAGAAACCCACTTCAGTTAGGGAAAGGAAACAGAAAAATAAAAGGTCTGTGAGGGGATGGAGACAGGCATGTTTGATAGACTCAGCATTACATATGGAAGAGAAAGATAAACACACATAAAGGATATACCACCAAAATTTAGGCTCCCAATGCCTGGCTAAGATGAAGACTTGATCAGAACACCAGAGAATTCCTTTCCTGCTTCCCAACACCATGCTAACAAACAGTGAGTAAAAATAACAGCGGAGGATAGCAAGAGACAGATTTTTTTTTCTGGGGAGTGTCACAAAGGGAAAATGCAAAGCCAGGTAGAAAGATCTAAAGCCAAATGGGGAGAAAACATCAATCTCAGCCCAACTTCTGACAAGACTAAAGCAAATCTCCACACTAAAAGCTTAGCAGAAGGAAACACATGGGCATACCCAAGAGTAAAATCTGTTTACCTCAGTAGTTACTGCCTTACACACATCCAACTTTCTAGTAAGAATTATGAAAAATGGAAAAAGACAAGAAAATAAAACATTCTGAAGAGACAAAAACAGTCATTAAAACCAGAATCAGATGTAAAGGAGATCTTGGAACTATCAGAGAGTGAACTTAAGATAATTATGTTTGATATTCCAATTCTGGCATAGAAATACAATGAGCTTTGAGGATCCACTCCCCAATGAAACAAGTAAATTTACTTTTTTTTTTTTGCAGTACTAGGGCTTGAACTCAGGGCCTACACCTTGAGCCATTCTACCAGCCCTTTTTTGTGATGCTTTGTTCAAGATAGGGTCTCGCGAACTCTTTGCCCAAGCTGGCTCTGAACTGTGATCCTCCTGATCTCTGCCTCCTGAGTAGCTAGGATTACAGGTGTGAGTCACCAGCACCCAGCAAAAGTTACTTTTAAAAAAATATATGACCTCTAAAATCTCTGAAGGTGAGCCTACGGGCGCACAGCAAATGAAGAAACATTTCTTCAATTAAATCTACTAGGCCAGGCATGGTGTCTCAAGCCTGTAATCGTAGCTACTTGCGGAGGATCTTGGTTCGAAGTCAGCCTAGGCAAAACATTTGGGAGATACCATCTTAACCTGGGCTAGTGGTATGTGCCTGTCATCCTAGCTATGCAGGGAACCACAAATAGGAGGATCATGGTTCAGGCCACCCAGCATAAAGCAAGACTCTATCTCAAAATAACCAAT